CCGAAAAACGATTTGCATTATTTTTAACTGGGACATCGGCAACGATGATTCCCGTCCCACATCCCTCTGCCACTCAGTATAGCATGACACTAGTACTAACGTGACTAATATGATCTAACCGGAAATTCCAAAAATTTATATTGCCGTTCTCCTCTTTTTAAATACGACAGGGACAATTTTGGTGTTTTAAATACTTTTTTAACAGTACTCTTCTGTTCCTTAACACTCAAAAAGCAAATTAAGTTTCAGTTTTATTTCTGTCGGATTTTGCATTTAAAGCCCCTCTAACTATCCAAGTGAATATGTCTTTATTTGACGAGGCGATCTACAAATAAAAATTCCTTTCTTGTACGGAGAGACTTTTTCACGCAGGAGAGAATTGACCACTACTGAAAAAGCCATAACATTCCATAATACTCTTTGTTGGTCACTCCAAATTTTCATAAGCATTGTTTTCAGTTTGTTATGGGGCCATTTTAACTCCCAAAGGAAAGTAAAGACAATGCTTACGCAAAAGTTTGGAGAGACCAACAAAGAGTATTATGGTATGGTATGTTTTTTTTTTCTGTAGTGATCAATTGCAACAAGTAAGTTAAAGCTTTTCCCGTAGAGACCATTGGAGTGAATTTCTGCAGCTCCCGCAAAGGCTAATAACATCATTGAATACTAAATTCGGATAATCATTTGGCTTAGATATAGGCCAAAAACTCCACTCAACAATTTTGTGTTCTTTCCAAATCGACTTTCAAATCTGTTCTCCAGACGACCTGAAATGAACGTCCCCTCGCCGCAAAATCGGCCCCATTCAAGCTGGCATGGGACACCCAAAGCCCTCTTCGATTTCCCTCCGCCATTTTGTCTTTTTGCTGCCCAGACGAGGCGTCCTCCATTTTTCTGTTGGGCGTTGACTTCACGGGCAGGGAATAATAATTGTTATTTATAAATCAAATATGCCATCATTTCTCTGCAGCTTATTATGAGCCTCTGATTCAAATCAATCAAATTGAGTTGCTGATGAGATTGTTAATGTATGATGATTGAAATGGAACTCAGCTTTCAGCCCCAATAGAAAACGGCCTGAACTCCTGATCGAAACGGGCATAATTTATTTACTTATGTTTTCTTTGGAATTAAACAGAATGATTTGTTGCAGCCCCTGTAAAGAACCTGTGCAACAAGGTAAGGATTCTGTGAAACTGCCCACCTACCCCTCTCCTAAACCAATATTTTGTCCTAAGTAAGAACTAAGTGTTAATGTTGGTTTAGGGGAGGGGTGGGTGGGCAGTTTCCCAGGCGTAAAATGATCCGGATTCTTGGGAAGGTTTCATTCATAGTGATTGTCAGCATTAGGAGGTAGCCACCTCGTTGCCCTGGGAACGAGGTTGTGTCGGATGGGAAATGGAAGAGAAAATTGATGTTTGCACATTATAGGTTAATGATAATAATGATAGCAATAATAGTTTAACTGTAATAACAAATTCATGATCATAATAAACTATAATTATAATGAATTAATAGTAATAACAATAATAATTAACGATAATAGCAGTAAATTATTAATAATCATTAACGATGGCTATAGAGAGTACAGAAACCCTGATTTCTTCCTAATTTATTTTAAGACCTTGAGTCCTGGACTTTTACCCCGCAGAAATCAAACCCAGAATCCCCCACTATACAAACCAGCCCTGCCACGGTCGGCATATTGCAATACAAAATTTTTGCCACTAACTGCTTTACTTAACCATTAAAGCCCCAATATATCTACATACAAATTCTTCAGACTGATCTCCATACATTTCTTTTAAGAATTACAGCTGTAGTTGATTAAATGCCGAATTTGATAAAAGATCGAAGCATTTTCCATTTGATGTTGGTCACTCTTGTAACTTAAAAGGTTAGCTTTTTTTAGTAAAAACTATATACTACTTTGATTGCGTTGTTCGCAGATTTTCAAGAGGAACTTGATATGGAATCAAACCCCTCAAAAGGTTGGTGCCCTGCGACCTATGTATCAAACTTCGGTTGACCTGGGTCGAGTTTACGGTGGAGCTGGCGCTTAAAGGAGTGCTTTACACTCGCCTCGCCAGTAAAGGGTTTTTATGAGAGGGTCCCCCCCCCCCCGCTCATTGGCCCGACGAATATGCCATACTGATGAGCCCCTATAAGGGCAAAACAGTTTCCATAGCTGCCACTGCCGGGGTGATATGGTTGTGCGCATGCGTAAGGTATAGGCCATACCGCGGAGTTGGTCTAGATGGTTTACTTTGGAAAATGATTTTTCTCAAACAAATTAAATATTTCTAATCCGTCGCATTGGAAGACTTTCCATTTATGAGGGAAAACATCGTTTAAAATGCCTAAACTTAACCTGGAGTTGTTTAAAAATTTAACTTTAAACTTCGCGTACTTTCATTCCAAACGTAAAAAGTAAGGTATGTCTACCTTCTATCAGAAACGCCAATTTATTTATCGAAACAAAGTAATTATAAATTTGCCACCTTCACCAATTTCCTTCATTTTTAATTTTTGATCAAGTGGCATGTTACGTGGCTATAATGAAACGTTAATGCACAAAAAGACCTGAAGATCAACCTCGTCTCCAGGGCGCTTTTCCCTGGCTTTGGAGGTGTGCCCCACCTCCAAAGCCAGGGAAAAGCGCCCTGGGGACAAGGTTGCCTGAAGATTTACTTTTGGGGAAAAATTCATTCTGTGGTAGGTCTCCTAGCGATAGATATTGTCAATCAATCATATGCTCCGAACACACCTTTCAATCAGGCCTTTGAACCTCCCTTGAGAAAACATTATTCAGGTAATGTGCACCGGCAGACCAGTAAGCGTTTTACTACTTAACTATCCTATTTTTACGAGCCTTTCAACTAGTCGATTTCTTTAGCCAAAGAATCGCGAAGAACCTAAAGCCAGTTTCAAAACTGTTGACTGAGACATGCACTCTGAATTAAAAACAGCTGTTTTTACTGAAAATCGCCCTGGTAAGTACTCTTTGGAATGAAACACAGATTCCTTCCTTCCTTTCAAGTCAAAGTTTTTTCTACTGCTGGGAATTCTTGGTGGGGGTGTGCCACTTGGTTCTCCAAATCATGACCCTATTCTCACTGCGTACATAATGGGCGCATCACGGAATTTGAGCTACATCCTTCAGATTCCGCCGTGCTCTGCGTCTCTGGAGCGGGTATGGTGCTTTTCTGTGTCTTTGCTTAAACTTCCGTGTTTTGCCATTTTGCCCGCGTTCCGGTGAAGGAAGCTTCTGTCACCCCACCCTCCTCTCCTGGTGCCGGTCGACGCGGCTACCCTTAACTCCCGCTGCATATCTAAGTTGCCACAGTTATCGCGGTCTCTTCCCATAAGTTTACCGTGATGTGGTAATAGGTATGCAGTGAGGATAAATTACCATTTCAGATCAAAAAAATGCTATGTTCCGCACTCGTTTTCAGACTGGAGATGGTGACAAAACGCAAGATAAATTGTTTACACAAAACAGAGATTATGTCATCATTGCTGAGATTAAAACCGCAACAAAAAGATTTCTTTGAATCGGTTTCTTATTAGCACATTACAGTTTCTTTCTTATTCATTTGGAATTGAAACGACGAACACAATGATACACAACCGTAGTTCCTTCGTAAACCGTACCCGATTCCAGACCAAAATGGGCAAAGTCTATACCCGTTTCAGACCAAAACGGCGCAAAAACTCTACCCTTTGGGGCCACACATATATATATGGGTTATATAAGGGAGTGCCCTTTGAATGTTACTTCACTGAAGTGATCCCCCCTAATAACTTTTGATGACTTTCGCGATCCCCCCCCCCCTCTTGTCTTCATTTTCCAAGCGAATTTGAGTGGTCCCCCCTCTGAATCCTTCCAAAGATTTCAGCGATCCCCCCTTTTGGGTTCTCAGTTACGACAGATCCCCCCTTTTGTTCTCTAACAGTGCCTCCTTTTCAACAAAAGGAATAAAACTCGATATCATTTGTTTTTACAGGGCAAGACTACTATGCGAAACTGCACACCGCGGGACCACACGGAACCTGCGAAATCGGAGGAACCTAAAAAAATGACTGTTTTTGTTACAAATTCCTTTGGCTAAAGTGACAAAACAACTAGTTACAATACCTGGTATCATTGATAGGCTATTCACAGTCCCCTATTATCAACAAAGATCGTCGAGATCTAGCGCTCACCGTCTGGGAGCCACTTTGTAGTTTTTTCAAATATACCGAGGGGGCGGGCCTCGGGGTCCCCAAACTGCCCCGTAAGGTTCCATCGGCTTGGCAGCCGGGTTCCGCGGTTCCGCCGTCTGCAGTTCCGCACATTAGTCTTACCCGTTGTTACAGACGAGATAGATAATCAAGGCCAACAAACAGAAGGAAGACAAATTGAAGAAAACTTAATGAAGACCATTGGCAATCGCAAATATGAAGACATCGAAAAGCTAGTTACACCACGGACACTCCAAAAATGTGAATCCAATACTTTGTTGCTGTCAATGAAGGTAAATAATAATAATAACAATGAAGGTACTCGTTAACGGTAATGATTTTTTCCTTGGCCCAACTTCATCCGATATGTAGTTGCTCTGGAACATTTTTACATTTTTTTAGTTAATTTTTGAGACCTTTATAACTTTTTCACTTGGGTAGCCAGCAGCTTGGCCAATATAATGAAAAAAAATGCTGTTCACAACCGGACTGCCTGTACACTGCTTTTCAAGCGTTTCCGATTGAGCTATTGATGAAAGTTGAAGGAAGGGCAAAAAAAGTGGGGGAAGGGAGAGAGAGAGGAGATTTTGTTTCTTTCCTGTCCTCTCTCTCCTCCTTCAACCCATTTTTTTTGCTCTCTTTCGAACTCACAACAAACAAACGCGGGAACGCTTGTTACGTAGGATATTACTACACCAACACGGCCGCCTTTTCATTGTTTTGGAAGACCTGCAATACAGCCCCAGCGACTCACATGGAAACGTTTATTGGCGCGTTTTATTCAAGCATTCCTTTGCAGCGTGTTCTTCGTTTTCTTTTGCATTGGATCACAGGTGAACTATAAGCTTCGCAAGCTGGCAGAAACTATAGGACCTGATGCAGGGAGGTTTAAGCGACTGGCAAACTCGGTAGAAGAATTTACTTACTGTTTACTGGATCCGCTTAAAACTGACTCAGGTTGGTGTAAACAATTTGGAGACTATTCCCTGGATGAAATATTGAACGACGCCATTGAATTCAAACAAAAAAAGGTGGGGAATAAATAGTTTGATAAAAATTTCATAGTTAACTCCCGATAACTCGAACCAAAATCGATTTCCGGTGGATTTCCGCCATACATTTACTGTAATTTAACCCTTGGTAACTCGAATCGATCGTGTACTGCAATACGAAACATTGAATTTATTCAAAAACATCAGTGTCAGTCGTGAATTCTTTGTCTTTGATGCCTTTTCTTCGGTCCAGTTCAAATACCGTGTCCAGCACTGTATAGTGATCAGACTTCCAGGGGTGGAAGAAAAGGGGAGATCGCTAGAACGTTAGCATAACTGGCACATTTCGCCGATGAGGGTAACTGGAAGCGTCTGACACATTTCTTGTTTTGGGTCATAGTTTTATTTGGTGCTTTCTGGGATGGAAATGAAGGTTCATAAGAGATCACTGCACTCGCGTCTCCTTTCGCGTGCGGTCGTGCGTTACTTCTCGCGACTCACCCAATAGCGTAGCGCGTAGATGACGTCGAAGTGACTAATTTGCAATTTTTGTCTGAGTTTTGTCATTTTCTCATTTCAATGAAAAAAGACAGGCAAACATGCCATTTTAATGACAAAAGTAAGACAAAAGTGAGGAATTCACTAATGGTAATTTCAGTTTGTTTGTCTGAGATTTGGGTCTATAAATAGTAATTGCGCGCAGCGCTATTAGACAGCTTGCTTGCAGGGTAAGTAAATCCATATATGGGCAAAGATTACGTCTCTTTCTCTATTTTTTGCCAGCTGTTCACTCACCCAGCTGTGCACAGTGAAATGAATCGCAAGTGGCATGGTCGCGCTTTAGAGCAGTGTAAACCTTGGCAGCTTAACTTCCTCACTGTTTGGTGTTTGTTCGACCTGTTGTTTTCTCCAATCCTTCTTGCGGTATTCTCTTTGCGGAGAAACAGGACACCAGGTAAAACATATTAAATAGCTTATTGTCAAGAGCGTTAACTGTTTTGAGGGTAGTCGCTAAACAGGTCCTAGTAGCTTTATTACTAAATAAAACTGCCCGTCATTGTGGGAATTATAGTTCAACCGTTAAGCATTTCATGACAGAGTGACTCAGAACATATTCTTTTTGCAGATTATATGCAATTCATTCTTATTCGCGGTGGTGAAAACAAGGAAAGGTCACAAAACATCAAATATGGAATATCTTTCTTAATTTTCACAACTTTTCACAAACTTAAGAAGTACATGCTTGTTGTTTTGCTTTAGTTTCCCTGACCTAGTCTTTTAGAGCAAGGGGAATATTTTCGTCAAATTTCGACGTGAACAAACTGAGATAAATTAAGGCCTGGGCTCAAATCTATTTTATGAAAATAATTAAAGGGGGTGGTCTAAAACTTGATCCATTTTATATAATCCTGATTAACTTTGGGATATCGTTGACAGTAAATGCTGTTTTGGATCATATATTAATGTCAAGTAACATGTCAAAGTTATTTTTAGCTAAAAATAACTTCCCAGCTAAACGGCAGTCTGGTGGCTGCATTTAGGTTTATGATGTTGACACCTAAAGGCACATAATTTCTGTGCTTGGAAATCGTGAGATAGTTTTTCATTGGGGAACTAGGCACTAGTATAAAATGCCGTGTATTTTCAAAACCAAACATATTTGACGAAGGCCAAGCACAGTTTGTTTTCTTTTACCATTTTGACTAATCTAATAGTGACAAACTTAAGGGACTGTAATCATAAACTTTTGCCATTTTTGCTTTTGAATTTTTGGCCGTAACATGCCACGTAACCTTATTTGCAAACGTCCACATCTGCCAAAGTTTTAGGTTCTTATGAATAAGCTTTCAAACGTTAGAACACCCCCTTACTTTTTTGTGCAGTAGCTTGAATAAATGAAGCTTGAGAAAACAGACGACATTACGCGACGCCACCAACGGTTTCCCTGCTAATTGACCACTCCAGAAAATACCATTACATACCATAATGCTCTTTGTTTGTCACCCCAAATTTTGCATATAAACATTGTTTTCAGTTTCTCTTCGGGCCATTTTAACTCCCAAGAGAAACTGAAGACAATGCTTATGCAATATTTTGATGTGACAAACAAAGAGCATTATGGTTTGTTATGGTATTTCTGGAGTGGTCAATTGACGCCTGAGAAACGAGCGTAGAAATTTCATACTGATGACGCATTTCTTAGACGTCAATTCTCGTTGAGACTGTTGGTGGCGTCGCGATATGTCGTCTGTTGTCTCAGGCCAGAATAAATGGAGGCGCATCCTTTTAAGGTATGAGCCTCCAAAATTCACCTGAGAAAGAGGATAAATTCCACATCTGCAGGCATCTTTGGTCGTAAAAAACCTCATGCATTCATGTAAGAAAATTGTTTTTCACGATACGAAAACTACGGCACAAAAAATCATTTTCGACTTCTCAACGACTCAAATTTTTGATTTTCAGAAGATACCACGGGCGGAGGAGACCAGCCTTTAACAGTCTCCAGAGTGTACCTGGCTTTCCTGGAGTCTCCTAAATACAAGTTTTTGCGTGATACACTGAGTTACATAATCATGCTTTTCCTTCACTACGCTCTCTGTCTGTCACCTTCATCCATTGCGTTCAGTGGATTAGAGTGGGCCATCCTAGCTTTCTACATCGGTCGTTACTTAGTAGAGTTGAAGCAAATTTCGGGCGTTAAGCAATTTTTAACACGATCAAGACAAAAAGAGGATGATAATGCTGGGCTTAGCTGTTTCAAGATATTTTCAGTATATTTCAGGTAAAGAAGTAGGAATGAACGAGTCCAACAAAGCCGAGGAGATCGATACTTTGGAAAAAGTTCTTGAATAGTTTATACACTGGCTTGATAAGAACTACGCCTGTTCTTTATATTCGTTTAAATATATAGACATGGTGTCCTTCGGCTAAGAATCTGCCAGAGGGTGAGCTGGTTTTTTTCCCGGCATAAGTTCCTCTAAAAGAAGTCGACATTATACGAGAGAGACAGTATTCTAACATTTTACTATTATACTATTTTACTATCTTTTTGAATCAGTTCTTATCTGGCTGTGGGCGATCAAAATTCTCCAGCTATTTTCCGATTACTCGCACTACCAAATTAGTTGACGGCGCCACCGTCTTTGTATGACGTCATTCGTGCAATCTTAATTTATTATTACACCATTTACGTCATTCCTCTGATGATGTCAGTTATTGGACAATTGACATAAATGTTACACATGTGGTGCCTTGGCGCCTAACAAAAATTTTACCGGGGATCAGAAAGTTAACGAAGATAGATTTTGAATCAAAATTAATATTCCCGATTATGTTTTAGAACATTTGTACAAGGAACAATGGAGCTTAAAACTCGGCCATGTTTAATTAAATGTAAAAAATGACGCTCATTAATGGAGCTATGTCATGGCTGGCATGTTTTGTGAATAAAATGCCAGCTACACGTCCTTATTCGCTATGAAATTTGACATTTTTCATGTAAATGACAAAATCTTAGCTTTGTATCCCCTAAGTATTATATCAAACGTTACAAGCAACAAAAATGAACTTGAAAGACTGTTAGAAAGGCTAACAAGTTTTCAAAAATGTCAATTGCAGTCTTTTTCAATATTCTTCGAATTTATTCATCCGTTCTAAAAAAATCCTTTGAAGTTGTTGCGCTATTTAAACCTTCTTGAAACGTTTCGAGTTTTACTCAATTTGGTTGCAGTTTCCACTGTTTGAATTTTGATAACTTTCGTGACACAGCACCTTTTTATTTTACCCAGCTGAGTCATAGCAACTTCGAAGTGATTGTTCTTTGTTTTTATTTTGATTTAGTGACTGTTGGAACAGGTTTGACGTTGCAAGTCTTGTAATCTACTTTATAATCCTGATATTGCGAATTGCCACTTGGGTCACTGCTGGATCAGTTGCAAACAACAGAACCCTCGTTATTGCTGGCTATCTGTACAGCTTTAACACCTTGTGTCTTACTCTCCGAGCTTTTGGCCAGGTGATGGAACAACAAAAAGATGTTGGCACCATCCAGATCGCCCTGTTTAGCATCGTTAGAGACGTTCGGACAGTACTATGGCAGTTTCTTGCGGTAATCTTGGCATTCTCCATCGCTATTACGAAGATTTATATGTCCGAGAGATCGTTTATTGCCAATAAAAGTGAACGACATGAAATGTAAGAGCCCATTTGCTCAGATTCATCATAGAATTGATACGCATTGTTGGCGTAAATACCTGCTGCAAATAAGCATCTTATGACTCATTTGCCCCTAGCTTGCAAGATCTCGGTTTGTAGTTGTTCAAAAACTGTCGTCTTCTAGAGCGATCTCTGTCGGCGGAAAAAGAGTAGCCGAATTCTTCCCAAGCTCATAATGTCACGCACCGCAATGTCCAATTTGTTCACTTACTTGAGAGAGATGAGATGGAACCAAGACTGATGAGACAAGATTTGTCTGCTACGGTACCTTCCGTTTTCGAAAACTAAAAGTCATACGTACCATCAATAAATTCTAAATTCTAGCTAAGTAATACATTCTCCTTTAATTGACCTCTTGCACTGCAAACTACGTTACAGAAGTCTACTCAAGCAAGCGATGTTGATAAAAGTCATCTATTAACATATATCGCTTTGTTTTTTAGTGCTTGCAAGAAACCTGGCCTTCCATGGTAGGTAACATGCTTAACGGAAACGACCGAGAAAACGAGGTTAAGAACACGATCGAAATGTATCAGTGGGAAGGGGGTATGAGGGATTAGGGGGAGTGCAGCCACCTTGTCTTGTAATAAAGAGGGGGGCTTAAGCTTTCATCGGACAGCAGATCTAACGATTAAGGGTTGAGGATTTTTTCAAAAGTAGTGCAACGTATACTATGTCATACTGGAATGTGTTGAGCCCTGACTTGCACATCGCAAACGCAATCTTGTAAATGGTCCCATGGGATAGAAACCGGTACAGAAAAGTTTTTATATTTCACAATCTTTTTCATCTAAACAAGATCACGTAGATACATCTGCATGCTGCAGTAAAATTTGCTATCTAAAAGTGAACAACGATAATGTTTAATTTTAACTTTTCAAAAAGAGAAGCAAACGAAGAATTTTAATCACATTATTTTGTCTTTCCTCCATGCTTCAGCATGAAACAATATGGGTATACATTTTACTATATGGAGATGTTTTCATGGAAGGAGGAAGATCCTAGTACCAGGACGATCCTAACGCCATATGTTTTTACTGTATTCAGTGATAAATGCACAAGGTTGTATTTGTTACTAGCCCTAGGGTCTTCCTAGCTGAGAGGTATGAAGATCCTAGCACCATCGAAGTGGATCGATCCTAGCACCAAGTAAACTGCTTTGGCCAGGAAGATCCTAGTATTAGGAACAACCAGACTAAAAAAAATGGCGGCGGCTCGTTCAGTGGGTATCAGGCAATAAAGGCCGACAAATTTCGGTGAGCGTTGCCACCACCTGATGATTGTGATAATTCTGCTGAAAAATAGTTACTAGCGCAAGCTAAGAGAGCCGAAGGGCCTAATTTGCATGTTTGTTGTTGATGCCCGCCATCTTTAATTTCTTCTCTACTTGGTAACCACAGGGACCGAAATTTCTGCATGTAACCCAATTGAAAGTTGAGTAGGGTTTTTCCACCTTTAAGGATCTTTCTAGTGCTAGGATCTTCCTCTGTCCATGTAAACAGACCCTAAACAATCCCTATATATTCAACGAGGTTCACGTGATTTCCTATCCGCTGAGGGCCCACTGAGATTATCATGTTTTATTTACAGTTGGTGGGCGATGTTCTCTCATCTTGGCCTTTCCTTGCTGGATCAATCTGAAGAGTCTGACCCAATGACATCTGTGGATCCTCCCTCGGTCATCCTCGCTAAAATCTTCTTCGTTGCTTTTCTTATCTTGGGAGTGGTTCTACTAATTAACATGCTCATAGCCTTGTTATCGAATACATACCAGAAAACAGAGGTTAGGACTTGACTTGTTGTTCTTAAGCTAACTTATATACACTATATATTCGCAATGGGTAACAACAACAACAAAGAAATATTATTACTTTCTTTTACATTTGTGAATTAGCCCTCTTTGCTTCCATTGCATCCACAAAATTCAAAAGAACTTTTATCTCAAAGACGGGCATCGAGGGCCAGTTATTATATAAATATATGAAAGAGAATGTATTGATTAATTTGCCAGCGTTGTAGGCTATGTTTACTCTTTACTGGATAGCTGTTGCTCCGGGCATGAAAACCATACCGGCAGAGCTTCTGCTCACACATAAAAAAACAGTGATTGCGGTCCGATTTTTTGCATCGGAGCGAAGCTGCGCCCCGCAGATCTTGAATGAAAGTGAATCGTCACAGATCGAATAGATTTGTGCCACTCTTCGCCGCAGTGTGAACAGGTAATCGGGCCTTATGCTGCATGAAGTAAATGAGCAGGAGCGAGGATTGTGACCCACTAAAAGGAAAGTAAATATTCAGAAGTGAGAAACCACTGGCAAATCCTCTCGGCCAACCACTCCGCTATGATGTTCAGCTAGACGTGTGTGAACGACTTGTTCCAGTTCTGTCAGTTCTATTCCGTTACGTTGCCTTCCATCCTTAACCGGATGGGTCTTCATGTAGGCAAGAAAACTGTCTATCCGGTATGGTGGAGACATAGATTTGTTACAACTTTCGGCTGTAAAATAAAAATTAAGACGTGCTTTTACTTATAAACATGGAGGCATGTGTGGCTGAGCGGTTGACACATCGAAATCTGGATCTGGAGGTCTGGGGTTCAAGCCTCACCCATCGCGTTGTTTCCTTAGATAAGGAACTATACTGCACTAATTGTCTCTCTTCACGCAGGTGTATAAATGGGTACCAGTAACATACTGCTGGTTGTAACCCTGCGATGGACTAGCATCCCGTCCAGGGATGCTAATCTACAGCATAGTCTATGGCATAGCCAGGGACCTAACGTCTTACTTTAGAAAGCTGGTTTACTAACCAAGAACAAACGCCACTGAATCGTAGCCAACAGTTACCAGCGCCGTACAAACGACTTATTGACGCGGGATCTGGCAAAACTAACTACGAGAGAACGACTGGAGACCTGACAATTTGACTAACAATAGACGACTGTTTAACTGTGACAATAGAAGGATCGAAACGCACCAATTACTGACTACGAGTCTTCATAGCCAATAACATCACGGCTTAACTGACAGACGACCAATAACATCGCGACGTAATTGACCAATCAGATCAATAACCAGAGTATAGTACCATCGACTGACGTGGAACAACTAACTTTGACTCTCAAGATGACTACCGCGCGCACAGGTTGTCGAAACGTCAGTCACTGCAGTCAACAACAACAGTCCTATTCAGGACTACGTTCACCCGGACGATCAAACTCTATAAACACTTTGTTACTACGTTTTTCTGAATTGATTTAGTGATCAGTGCTTATAATCCATTACTTTCGAGCTTTTGACTGTCTCGACAATTGTCTTGTCTTTTGATAATTTGTTCCTTGTTTTAATTCTTGGAAGGACAATGCTGTAAGGGAATGGTCGTTCAAAAGAGCGATTACAGTTCAGACGTTTGATGGATATGATCCAATTCCAGTACCTCTCAACGTCATTTACAGAATATCCATTACGCCTCTGAGGCTTTGCAAGAAAAAAGATGAAAAACCGGTGAGAAACGCTGATAAAAAGAGAGCATTTACATATTTTTATGAAAAGCTTTGATAGCTGTTGGGTTATAGCTGTGACTGTCAGTGTTTTGCATCTTAACTAACCTTCACTTGACTTTTACTCGACAAGGTTGTTTATACCATGTTTTCCTTTCAGATTCCGGGTTTGGAAGAAGACTTCGACATAAAAAGTCTTGAAGAGGAATACTTCGCGGAGCATGCAAATTTCTTTCCACTTACAGGTACGCTATGTATCCCAAAACAAATGAGACAGCTATTTTGCGGGGGAAGACTGGGTGGTGGGAGGCGTAGAAATAGGGAGCAGGAGGGGTATAGGATGTGGGGGAGGAAAGGGCGGGAGATTCCCCTGTCCCCCCACTATGTTAACAATCAGTAGCTGCAGTGTTTAGTCAACCTATACAATAGTCACCCAAGACTAAAGACAGAGGAGCTTTGACAACACGCCAAGAGTGTTGTAAACGATTTTCAAATCTGCCTTATCTTCAAGGATTCTCGGGAGACTAGGTCGGTGTTGTCTTGAACTGCAGTATGGGATTGTCTTGAGGACGCCATTCTCTATTTTCGAATCCCGTGGCCCGTAATATACTATGTTTCCCCGCCCCCCTCAAATTTTGCATAAACCATTGTTTTCAAAAACTCCCGGAAGTACTGCATTTTCCCAAGAGCATTTGAGGACAATAACGTATACAATTTTTCTTCGAAGGGGCAAACAGAGTGTATTATGGGGTTATTCGAAAACAGTCAGTCCTGGGCTATTAGGAGTAAACTTTATTTACCGTATTAATTTATTTACCCGCTTTCGGTTAAACGCCGCAGCGTTTATTAAAAGTTTAGAGTTTATTTCAAAACTGACATGTCCTCAATCACAACGATTACGATGACTCCTTTTTAGATTTTACGTAAAAAGAAGGATGTGAAAGTTTCAATCTCTAGGTCTTTTTTGCTAAGATACAACCGTAATTGTCTGAATGGTGTAGTGTACATTAAGTTGTAACATTGTTTTTTCTTCTGAATGGCTTGGCATTTATTCAGCCCCATAGTTGAATTCAACACAACACTAACCCAAGCTTAAGGGCAACCTTTAAAAAGCAAAAAATTGACTTTTCGTTTTGAACGTTCTTTTTCTAGCAAGAAAAAGTGGAAGGTAATGATCATCACTATCATTATCATCATCATCATCGTCACCATCATCATCATTATCATCATCATCGTCACCATCATCATCGTCACCATCATCATCATCACCATCATCATTATCATCATCTTCATCATCATAAAACATTCGCGATACAGATTTGCCCGCTCATTTATGGATGCAAAGAAGTAGATATCTGAACGTACTGTTCTACTTATTTAGATGAAAAGAAAAGTGACTGCTTGTTGCGAGAGACAGAGAAAAACCGTCAAATGATCAGTCAAATACTCAGCACAACTTTCGCACCCTGTTCAAGTCATAAGGTGAGGAGCCATCATCAAAGAATCGAATCGTTTGAGCATTGCAAAAGGACCTACCCCTGGTGGGCACTCCTTTTTGGCCTAAACGGGTGTGTCACACTGAACACGTTATGGTTTGTGGGGTCTTGATTTTTAAACAGGGTGTACAATTTCACTATCTAGTGTCTGGAGCAGAGTGTCTCTTTGGACCGGAAGCATTTAAAAGAGTGTGAAGGTTGGTCATAGGCGGTCTACATTTGTGATAACAGCAATTTTTTGCAAAAATCTAATTTCTTGATAGTTGTTTAAAAAACTATTTAATTCGCTGTGCAAAAGGAGATGAATCAGGGTCATGAAATAAGGTCTCTTGTCTTGGGTTTAAAAGCTTCGGCGACACACCTTTTACTCAAACTTCCCTTACCTCAGTGCCCCCCTCCCCCGTCCCCGGGGGATTTACCCATCTACTGTATTAATGGATCACAATTAATTTTATTGTTGTTTCTTGTTAAACCTTTTTAAGTTAAAATCTTCATTTCCTGATGGCAAGGCGTGGAATTTGCATCCAGGAATACGAGTGGAAGGTCCACTTTTGACTTTTGAATGTAGGAAAGCAGGGAAAGGATGTAAGCCTTCTCGCAGGCATTATCATGGTGCCAGATATGGTCAGCCATTTTCTCTCGAGTTTCCTCATTTTGAGGTAAGTTTCTGCAACATCGACAACAACAACTGACACCAACAACAAACAAACAAACAAACATTATCTCTGTGGGTCTTAAGGCAACTGACTTTGTAACAAAACAGAAAATCGTTCTACGTGCGGATTTTAATAAATGACTTATTTGTTTTTTAATAAAACCTTCGGAGACTTCAAATAAAGAACCTTTGTTTTTCAAGTTTACTGACATAAAACCAGACATTATATCTTGTGACGTGTACGACCGACTCATAACCTCCCGAAGGCAAACTGAACCTACATATAAGAAACCTTTTCTTTGAAAGCACTTTACCTGGAATCTTCCAAATGCGACCATCTTTCCTAGTAAGTGACCATCACTACTTTTTGGAATCACTATAGCTCTAACTCCCCTTGATGTTATCCTCCATAAAGCGACAAAGAGACCTATTACTCAACCGCTGATAACACCGTGAGTTTTGTTTTTTCATTACGACATTTCATTTCTAGATCCAATGTTTGCCGTATGTACGCTCTTAGAGTTTCCATAGTATAACAGGCAATTTTAGAGTTCTTTAGCGTATTATCACTGAGATTTATAAATGAAGATATGATCGTCGCAGTGATAATTGAAATTTAAGCAGTGGCAAATTAACCCGAAGAACATTTCGGGACTTCAACAGGATTAGAACCCATCATATATGATGGCCTCTGCGTTGGCGCTGCGGTGCTCTTCCCACTGAGCTATAAAGACCCATACATTGGGAGCAGGCCACATTAATAATAATAATAATAACAATAATTTTTAACCAGGAGACTCTCACCCGGGTGATTTTCAGAGAGGTCCTGAAAATAGAAAATAGAAAAAGATAAAAAGAAGCGTAAAACGATAAAAAGCCACAAAAAATGCCCAAGTGGAACGTAACACAGGCAAAGCAAGACTCGCGTGGAAGTTATTTCTTTGAATTTCAACTATATCTAATTTGTTGGTTCTTTTATATTTTCTTTATGGTCGACAAATCCTTAACGTGTCGACTCTTCCAATTTCGGGCAAATCTGTTTCTAAGATGTTTTCTTTTTTTCAAAACAGGTGGTGATTCTAGAAACCGGAAGAAAGAGGTGGTTGGGAATAGGCATTGTGAATGAAGGGTACAATGACAGTAAAATGCCCGGATGGATCGAAGAATCTGTTGGCTACCATACGGATGATGGGAACATCTTCCACAATGCAGATGATCCTGATGCCGCCATAATAACTGAGGGTAGGAAACCCTGTGAGCAACACTCTGCTGCTGTCAGAGCACCGGTCTGCCCATCCTCGGAGACCCAGGGGTAGCCAGTCGAGTCGGGAGAAAAGGTGGGACGAAAGTTTTCAAGTAAGGGCGGAAGAGCCCCAGGGTACCTACTCTCACCAGACCATTTCCAAAAATTCAACCGGATGCCGGCTCCTGATTGGGCACAAAAAATGCTTTGTATTATTGTACCCAATAGGCGAACACATCTCCTGAGCTCTTTTCCTGTGTTCGTACACGACGGCTATTGTCTCGATCACGGCTTGTCTGGCTCATGCACTAAAGAAATGCACGCAGTCAGAAAACTTTCAGTTTGATATAAAATCCCCTTCTGATTTCAAAATATATACTTTCTGCTCGAAAACTATATAAAGACGCTTTTCCAAAAATACAAGCTTCAGCTTACAACAGGTATTCCTATTTTTTCAGTATTTATGGTGATTATTCCAACTCGCTTACTTTGTCAAATGCAAGTGAACTCTTCTGGAGCTGAATTTCTGTCAACCATAACCAAGTTCATGAAGAGAATGAATTATGTCATTGCTTGTTTACGTCCTTCACAAAACGTGAAATCAAGCATTTTCATGGGTAGTCGTGCCGTTGACGGCAAAGAAGTGTACAAAAAAGCGTGATACACGTGCGAGGTTGTTGTTCTGCCTTGTCAAGCTATTGCTTATTTGACTTTCTCGTCGCCGCCGCATCTTAAACTTCCTATTATTTACGATACATTGTGATCCAATTCAATTGGTCCTGCTGATAGCATCCCAACCTTTTTTCAACTCATCGATCGATCGGTAGTTCATTCAATTCGTTTCTGGTTAGGAAAGTAGAAAATAGAAGTTTCCCTTGCACGCACAAGATTGGTGAACGAACAGGGCAAGTGTGGCGAGACAATAGCCGTCGTGTACGAACTCACGAAAACAACTCAGGAGAAACTGTTCACCGATTGGGCACAATAATACACAGCTTTTTTTGTGCCCAATCAGGAGCCGGCATCCGCTCGAATTTTTGGAAATAGTTTGGTAAGAGTCGGTACCAAGGGGTTCTTTCGCCCGTACTTAAAAACTTTCGTCCCGCCTTTTCTCCCGACCTGACTGACTGCCCTTGGGTCTCTGAGGATGCCTGTCTGAGGATGCTCGGCCTGCCGAGCGGGATGTCGTCGGTTCAAACCCCGCACTACTGTTGGAAATGAGTAGGGGAAGTTTCCTCGGTGATGTGATGGGTGGGTTACCGTAAGCTCATAAAAGGCCTGATAGCGGCTGCCACTGGCGCCCTAGTATACTGACGTCCGAGCTTACTGTTAACATGTTAACATATAATGTAAAGAGGGTGCGTCTTGTTATCCTCTAATCCACGACAATACACACTACACGTATAACTTTTGAAGGGCACAAAAACATGCATTTGAGCTTCCTCACGGCCTCGTTTGAATTAGTTTGTATTGTTTTTTAATTGGCAGTAGCTTAGTGTTTTTTATGTTAGTAGGAAACTCTTGCCAGATTTTGGTTATGGCAAACTTAAATGTGTGCTTGCCATAATTTAACCTACCCGGTATAGTACAGTATGAACAGAGACGGCACAGAACTGGAACAAATCGTTCACACACATCGAACATCGTACTGGAGCGGTTTGTCGAGGGGGGCTTGGGTCTCTTTCTCTCTCCTCACTCATGAATATTTACCTCCGTCTCAGTAAGTCCCAGTCCTCTTTCCTACTTATTCACTTCCGCTACCGTCCGAAAACCTGTTCACACTACACCAAACAAAACAATAACAAGAACAATCTTTATTTGTACTCAATCTTGCTCAAAAATAAATTACGACAATGAAAATATTAAAAGTAAAATAAGAGCACTGGCTGCCTGGAATAACCATGGGGGCTAGCGGAGCCAGGTAGCCAGTTGATTTCAGCATTGAATAAAAATTCAATTACAGGTCAGCAAGAAAACTGAAGCACATCTTTCTTGATGACAGCTGACCCGATTTGTGACGCTTCACTTTCCACAAAAATTTCCCCGAAATTGCCGATCTCATGCGCGGTTTTCTCCTCGGCACAAGAGCTACCTAGAAGCAAAAGCAAGCAAAAGCTAGTGAAAATCCAAAAAGGAAATTGACAACAAATTAATCACAGAGTTTTTAGAGACCATTGAAATTTAATTTCGGGAAAATTAATATTTTTATTAAATATTTCCACATGACAGTTCGTGTATTAAATCGTATGTATTTCATTTGTCATGTCAGGTCCTGCTATGGCTCGCCGAGGTGATCGCATTCGCTGCACAGTTTTGTTTCAGAAAAAGCGAGATGCAGACGGCAAAATTCCAGTTTTCTTTACACTTAATGGCAGTGAGATAATTTTGAAACGCGGAGAGAGCCCGGAAAGCAGCCTTATTTTCATGGACTTTAAAGAACCCTTGTTCCCCTTCATTGGTATGACCGAAGGTAGCAGTGTTTTGGCCAAGGTAAGGACTCTATTTAGATCTATTTAATCTACCTTTTATATTTATTTATTATTCTTCGGGTATAGAACCTTTTATGCAAGAATTTTTAACGCATCGACTAAAATTTGTATTACTTAACCCTCAAACAATAATCCATCTTTAGACCATTTCCGAGTTGTCCCAAGCCTCGCTTTCAAAGCGAGGTTAAGCTGCGATGTGTTTGGATATGACACTTAAAATAATTTTTGATTTTCATACGAATAAAACTCGCTGTAACACGAAAGGTTTTGCACTTGGATTTATTTTGAAACTGAGGATTTCTGGATTTGGGAAAAAGCCTCAGATTGAGGTGCTTCTGGCTAAATCCGTATATGACCATATTTAAGGATAATAATTTATCAAAGTTGAGCTGAGATGAGAAGATGGTTATGATACACTCAAGATTCGTAGGAACCATGATTTTAAACAGGCCTTTAATTCGTGCTAATTATTTTAAGTATCGCTTTTTTAATCGTTACGTCAGTGTATGGAACTCTCTCCCGTCAAATGTTATCTGTGAATCGAGTCTTAATTCTTTCAAAGTCTCCCTTTTAAGTTAACACGCTCAAAGAAGTATTAATAGAAGAGAAACGTTGGGTCTCAAGATGTGTAGAAGGCCTAAATGTAATAAACGACCCTAAATGTAATAAAGTCCTAAATGAAATAACATTTTGCCCTAAATGAAATGAAGTCCTAAATGAAATAACATTTTGCACTAAATGAAACGAAGTCCTAAATGTAATAAGATTTGGGCTTAAATGTGATGAGCTCTTTAAGGGTGGTAACATTAGGCCTTAAATGTAGTGACCTCATGCTAACGTCATCAGTGACGTTAATAACACTTCATTAAAGGCTCTGTGTCACGACTGTCTACCTCATTTTGTTATTTTTGCTAATTACCATATTTGCTCGAATAAACGCCTCCCCGTTTAAGCGCCGCCCTCCAATAAGTAGGGAACTTAAGATAGAGACGTTTTCGGGGCGACGGCAACTTCAACCGGACGTGACATCATCATTTGTTGGATATTGCGCATGCTCCTGCTCACCACCTTGCCGTCGTGGTCCCGTGGGCGAAGTGAAACTGGGGTGTTTGGCGTTGTGGCGAAAACGTGAGTATTTAACTTTCATTTCAATCAGGTTTGTTGCGTTTAGCAACCAAAATTTTGCAGATTATCGTTCTTAAATTGTCCTTGTTTTCTTTGAGGCACATTTCAAGCTCGATTTCCAAGCTCTGTTATCTAAACTTACATCTTTGAATGTTTCTGTCTTTTCATGTCATAGGGTCAAGATCCAACTTGGCAAACAGCCAACCGTAAGTGAGCTTGACATGGACAAAATTGTTCTACCAGCCAAATAAAAGTATCCAGACAAAAAATATCAGAGCGCCGATATTTTAATTGTGTGTTTTTAGTTCGCTCTTTTCGTTAGAATATCGTATAAATGAAACGCATTGAAAATTATACAGAATAGTAGGTAATACCATATACTAACGTGGGAATACTGAAATAAAGTTGTTACCGTTGTTGTTGTTGTTGGATGCAAGTATTTCCAGGGAATTATTTCAATACCAAACTAAGAATACGGTTCCTTGGTAGCATTTTAATGTTCCTGGAATTTGCAAGGCTCCGGGAAGCCTGTGGAGATCTTTTCTTTTTTCAACACGAAATTCTGCCTTGCACTCAGCTGCATCCCGCATGTTTTTTAGCGTGAACGGATCGTAACTGTCCCGAGGAAAATCGGGATTTTTGGACTTATAATTTTCCCACAAAACGAGAAACTCTTCATCCGATACATGTTGTCTGCATAGCAAATATTTATTCTCTTACTTCTTTATGTGAAGCCATATTTTCCTCTTCGGTATTCTTCTAATTAAAGGCCCCGTCCTTCTGAGTTCACTGCGATCTTAATGTTCGATTTTTGACGGGGAGCGACGGCTGCCTCAGTTCCAGGCTTTCTCTGCCAGTTCGGTCGCTGTCGCCCCGAAAACGTCTCCATCTTAAGTTCCCTAGTATCGCCCCAAATCAAAATCAATCAAAAGTCGTTACTTCTGTTAGTTTTAAAATTCGGAAAATAATAATTTAATACCTTAGTTAATACAATTCTTAGCGCTGCACTTAATAAGCGGATGATAACCAAGCCAATTATTTGTTTAAAGGAGTGATCAAAATAACAGTAAGAACTATCGCAAATTGTTTGAAACATAAAAAGAATCGCTCAAAACATTATAAGAAGGTATTCTTAACACAGGAAATACAAACGTAGGTATGGGTGGACAAACTTGAAGAAAATTGAAACGGATTGAAATTGTAAGTTTTGAAAACTTGTTAGCCTAACAATTTTCATAGTTCATTTTTGTTGTTTGTAATGTTTCCTATAGTGCTTGGTTAATATATTTACTTGAAGGAAATTGTTATTTTTTGTCGTTTATAAGTAATTTATTTGTTAACGTTAAGTTCAATACTACATATGGAAACGTACCGTATTTACTTGCATAAGCACCGCGACGCTTATTAAATTTTTCACCCCTCAAGTACTCAAGGAATTGTATTATTTACGGTATTATTATTTTTCGTATATACTAAACTAATAGAATAAGCGTCTTTTCATTTTGATTACATCAGGGCCGCGGTGCTTAATCGGGGACTGCGCTTATTCGAATAAAACGGTAATTGGCAACATTAACAAAATGAACACAGCTCCTTTTATGAAGTGTAACTTACGTCATTGATGACGTTAGCATGACGTCAGTGCATCAAAGGCCTACTTAACAGTTTATTACATTTAAGGCCAAATGTTATTGCATTTAGGAATTTATTACGTTTAGGGCAAAACGTTATCACCTTTAGGCTTTTATATTTAGGGTCGATTTTTACATTTAAGCTCTCTACACCTGTAGAGGTCAGTCTCACAAACAGCTCACATGTAACAATTAACTGCAAGATTGGAACTCTTAAGGTGATGATAAAACATTTCAGCTGGTATTTTGCATTTCTTACCAGGTGTAAGCTTTCTTAGCTCATTAATCGGTTCTTTTCAGATGCATGCCTCGGAGGAAAAACTTCAAGAAAGTGTAGAGGACATTGTTAGCAGGGAAGTTAGAAAAGCGACGAACCGTTTGGAAGAAAAACTGGATACTTTGTTGCAGAAGCTCGATGAAAAGGGAAAGTGAAATGCTTTTGAGAGAAAGCAACCACTGCAACAATCCTTCAGTTCAACCTAGTAAACTACTTTCAAAACCACTTAGAACGCATTTTTAGCATACGGCAAACGTCAGATTGAAGTTGATAATCTCTGAAATTAATCAGACAACCGCTTTGGTCGTTTTGGGTCCATATGGACCCATGTATACTACCTTTCCTGGATCCATTAAGATTTCCATTTTGGCTATTAAGATGGTAATTAGCAAAATTAACGAGAGTAGAGCTTTCCACTGGTACCTTACTTAGCAAATTTTGACCGATCCTCACAGAGTTATAGGGAAAAAAAAAACAACAAGCAACATTGGGGGAAAAGTGCACTGCCAATTTTGCTATTTACCTGCTACTCTTTACAGATCTCTCCCTTTGTTGGAAAAAAAGCCAGCCAAAATTTCATGCGAAAGAAAGACGATAAAGTGGGCAATAAAAATGGCAATAAGAAGGGAAAAGAAAGGGAAAAAGGAAGAGAGCGAGAAAAAAATTGAAATAGATTCGCAAAAAAAGTCCAAATTTTGGCTTAATTGCGCACGCGCGAAAAAACGATAACGCTGGATTAGCATAAAATTATGTCCTTAGTGCTATCTGCTGAAAAACGGTTCAAAAGATTTGGTCCAAACTGAGGTGGCGAGGGTTAAGAAGTGCGCAGAGAATACTAATCAGGGCTCAGAGGCACCTTGTTGTGGCGATGAAGTATCTGGTAATTGTACGCTAATTATTCGCTTCAACCCCCAAATCCAATGTTTTCCAGTTTTCCAGAATTTTAAACATTCCCCCTGATTTTTAAACTTTAAAACGTTCGAAAAATCATTCAACAATTCGCGAAAATGAAGAAAAAACTGGGCTTTTAAGCAGACTGCTTGATTACAATCCGGCCTGTGATACTATCATCATCATCATAATCATCATCTTCATCATCATCTTCGTTATTATTACTATTATTATAATAATCGCATTAAAACTTTCTTTAAAATATTGCATATCATTTGCCTAGTCGTCATTGTGCCACAATGAATAATAATTTAAGTGGTCGAATCCGCTGGAACTTATAACATGAAACAGAATCATTCATAAAAATCAGAAAATGCGACGTCGGAAAGTGTGACCCACAAGCAGCTAACATAACAAGAAAAAAAAACAAACACGAAAAGCAAATCTCAAGTACAAACAAAGATGCTAACAAAACATCTCAGTCTCGAACGTTTATGCTCAAGTTCCATCTTCTACGTAAGTTGTAAAAAGGCATTTTTCGCCTTTTGTTGCCACAAGTTCTTTCACCCAATAATAACTAAAATAATATTGAAGTGTCTCTGCCTAGAGCTTTGAAGCATGCTTCTTGTTTCGCCAAAATATGTCAATGATGATAAACAATCAAAGACCTATATAAGGTAGTCCCAGTCAAGCATTTGCCCATTTTTCATTTTAGGCTATTTGCCGTAATTCAAGCACAACACCACCGACTTGAAGGCCCAGACATTCTTATGTCAAGAGTTTTTTAACGCTGACATTTCCCGCTGCACCGCCACTTAAGAAGTAAATACGCGGCAGAACCTGAAAAGTGGCATCTATGGTTAGGTCACGAAAAGTTTTAAGAAATTGAGACCTGATAAATGATCTTGCTTAGAATTTCATTTGGAAGCCTGTCCGTGTGAGAGGTCTTATTCTTGTTGTTGATTATACTACTGGGTTTTCTTGTCCTCTGACCGTCCATTTCAGGTTTATTACAAAGTGCGACAAGTGTCATTACAAAGTACTACAGATTTTTTTTTTATTATTACAAAGTGAGACAGGTATTACAAAGTGGGACGATTATTACAAAGTGCGACAGAACAGACCTACATTGTGTATTGATTTTATTTCATGGAGGGAGAATTTGGTTGCAGATATATTTCACGAAACTCCGTATGAACATTAAGGGCAACAAACAAAATTTATCGACTTTTATTTACGTTTTAGGATCGGAACTTTATTCCATAAAAGCAATGTAATTTTACAGGATTTGTACTGTGTTACTATCACTGAGCACGAGTTACTTGTGATGTCGTGAAAAATATATTAAACCAACTAACTATCGAACAAACAAACAAAAACAGAATAAAATATAAACCCAAACCAACTGAACAACTATATATCAAAAGGTCTTAAATTTAAATAAACTTTAGTTTTCTAATAAAGCAGTTGGCATATAACTGACGAACTCAGTGTTAAGATGGTTCAAAAGCTATTACTTGGGTAAGCACAGAATTCAGTCGTTAAACCTGTTTTTAAATATCAAAGTTTATCATTTCTGCCTCACAGACAACGGATGATTTCACTGTAAAATTTATGGCTTTTATACTCATGATCATTCTTCGTAAACTACTTTTACTTCACCGGGAAGGTTACTAGAATCGATCCATTCCCAGCAATAATACTTTGAACCATGAAATTTGAGGGGCACGTTTGGAAAGTAGACATTTTGGTATTCGTTTCCTTTAGTTTGCCATTCATACCACAGTTTGTCCAAGAATGCATGGTGAAGAAGCAGTTCTGGGGAATTTGCTGAAATCAGAGGATTATTCATTGTACCACCGACAACGAAGTGAGGCTCTATGTGATAATCTGAACGAAGAGTTTCTTCAAATTCATTAAACTTTTCCAGGGGCAGCGATAAAGTTTTGTTAACGTTTTCAGTATCGTGAACAAGACTGCGCTTCAAGAAATTCCTTGTTAAACACCCTCCTCCGGACACATCCAAGAGACTCCACTTATCTTTGCTGAAAGGTCCGTTCTCCACGCAGTGGTTATCAAGCTTACTTCCATCTCCTCCCAAACCGTGATCCTCAGGATTCCAAAGGTCGTCGTTTTCAGTTCCTCTCCACCAATGATGAATGTTTTTGCTCCAGTCCCAAAAGGGTATGGTCACACGACAGTCGATTCTGCGCAGGAGGTTTTCAAACTCAGTCAAATACCACCGGTGCCAGGGAAGAAAGACTTCAGGAAGTCTGGCTTCATTGCTTTCGTTCAAATGGAGTGCGACAGTTTTTTCGTAATCTTTTTTAAACAGAGGATGGACCGATGCCAACTTATAAGTGTTAATATAACGTTTTCTGTGCTCGATGGTCATTTTGGTGAACTCTTTTCGCACACGGTGACAGTTGGTCAGTTTACCGTTCTTACATTCACAACGCTCTTCACACTTGTTGACCACGAAGCTGCTTTCTTCTCCGCACTCAGGTGTACTAACATCGCGGTTGTCGTCTTCGATCCTTTCTGGATTGTCCGCCTCAGAAATGATCCAGCCACTAATAAAACAAACAATGTACCAATAACGACAAAGCCTCATGATGACTGGGTTATCTGCAACGACAAAAAAGGTTAAGATATTTTTGAAAGGTAGATTATCTAATAGTAATGTTTCATTTTACGAACTGTTCTTTAAAAATGCCACCCACTACCGAAGATGTTTAATTAATAATTTATTTTTCCTTGAGTGGTAGGGAGGGAGAGAAGGCAAACCGATTATCTTTCTTCTTCCGTCTTCAGAAGTTCGATATCCACCACCCGTACATATACGTTTCCATGTTTTAGTTGTCGGGTAGACATTAGTTTGAATGGACAGGGTTTATATCAAACTGAAAGTTTTCCAACTGCGTGCATTTCACTCTTTGGTGAACGAACCGGACAAGTATGGTGAGATAATAACCGTCGTGTACGAACACAGGAAAAGAACTCAGGAGATGCAGTTTTTCGCCGATAAGTGGGCACATTAATACAAAGAATATTTTGTGCTCTTCCGTCCGTGCTTGAAACCTTTCGTCGTGCTTTTTCTTCCGACCCGACTGTGACTTCCCCTAGGGTCTCCGAGGATGGAAAGAGCGGCGATTAAAAAAAAATACTAGTCAAGAGAATATTTTTGATTCGGCATCGAGAGGTCTACGTGGTAAAATCATAAGGACGATATACAACTATCTTCGCCGCTTTCTGGAAAACAGTATCGTTAAATTATCAGTTTAAATTGTTTTATGAAGAACGTGGAAATGGGTCGTTTAAATTTTCTTCCTTGATTTGTACTTGAAAGCAGCATATACCTTCGAATAATCTCTGAAAAAAATATTATTGTAAATTAAATTGAATAAAATTGTTGTAACTGGAGGGTACTATAGGCAAGTTTAAAGAATCGAACCCTTTTTGATCTTTTGTGATCTCGTAAATGGATATTAGTTTATCCTAATAAGCTTTAAAAAGGAACGAACACAACCATTCTACATTTCTTTAAAGGAAAACAAGCTTAGTTCGAATTTAGCGATACTAGACAGAGGAGTACAACAATCTACGCTAGGTGTCGCTGGTTATTTATATAACTTCAAATGAATTTAATGGTCAACCAAAACGATCTTAACTTTCGCATCGACATACCTTTAACAAAATGGCCGTCAGTGCTTCTTCTTGTGAAATGATGTGCTTTGATTCAAACGTCAGTGTCATGTAGTAAGAATTATAATTGACTTTTTGTAACGTAATGACGTCACTTTTTGTAATAATTTATGCATATGGGCTACAGTAAACTGACTTGGTTAAAAACTAACAAACTTGAAGTAGTTCCTTGGGATTGCTATTAATGAGCTAGACTGGAAACGAGTGAAGAAAAAATAATAATAAATAAATAAATAAACTATCTGATGGTAAGCTCATCAAGGTGTGGTCACTTGATGTAAATGTTGTAGTTAATTTTTATCTTTCTATTGTTTTGGGGTATGGTAATGTATGCTTATGAATTTGAAACAAAGGAAAGACAAAAATTAACTAAAATAAAAAATTAACTGCAACATAAATGTTATAAATTTCCTCTTTGTCGAGAGTATCACACCAAGTAGCTATAGTTTTATTTAGATATATTTTCATACCAGATGTGGCGCCAAAGTTTTGCCTTACCATCGCAACCCAATACAGCCTGTGTGCATGCAGTACACTGAAAGCGGAAGCAGTTATTAACAAATAGCTCAATCATACATGTAACAACAAGGAAATGTGCTATGAAAGTTTGAGGCTATTTTCGTGTATAAACAAGCCGAGAAAACTTTTACTCCTATCCCTCATCTCCTATTTTGCTTACTTTCTATAATAATGTTTTTAATAATAATATTTAAAAATAAAACACGAAGGCGTGATCGATGCAACCTTGAATACGTTTTCTAAGCTTAAGCTAGAGAAAATTTTTCAACTGAGATCCAGTCGACAGCTCTACGTGGTACAATGATAACGATATATATCCCTCTTTACCGCTTTCTGGAAAATAGCATGGTTAAATATTAATCAGTTTAAATTCTTTCATGGAGAACGTGGAAGCGGGTCGTTTGAATTTACTCCCTAGATTTGTATTTGAAAGCAGCATACCTTCTAATAATCTTCTGGAGAAAACATTGATGTAAATTAAACTGAAGAAAATTGATACAACTGCAGGGTGCTGTAAACAAGCTGAAAAAAATCGAACCTTTTGTATATACTAATCTCGTAAATGGATAAAATCATCCTAAAACTTTACAAACAAGCTTAGTTCGAATTTAGCGATACGAGACAGAGGAGTACAAAAGTATAGTCTTCCTAAAAACACCCTTAACAGTTCATAATTTTTAATTACAGACAATTTCCAAAAAGGTTACGGTGAGTTCAACTATAGTGTTACTAAGACACAACTGAGAGAATACAGAAAACCGACGGTGAAATTGATCGAGCAAAATTGAATGCATATGATAAGTTAAGTTACGAAGTTGTGCTAGTCAATCGTCTCACATCAAGGAAATATAACTTAGCTGCAAATGAGATATCAAAGAAGCTGTAAAGGAGTTGTTTACTCAGTATAGAAGTAAAATTGGCAGCCAGGGGGCCTTCCCCGGCAGATCACCAGTCAAGTCATTCTGATGTTTGATTCATCCATTTTTCCCAAAGGTTGGATTTGTTCAAGAGCGTGAGTCAGATGTCTTATAACCTCTGCAGAATTTTTCATTTTTAAAGGAAATATTTAAATTGCTGTTTTAGAGAGTTCGTATCAAAAGAGATTTCTTAAGACATAAAACGATAAAAACGACTATAAAATCCGACATTTCGGAGTAGTCATGACTCCATTATCAGGGGAAAATGTTTTTGATCACGCAAATTACAGCATTTAAAGGAGAGTTCAGTCTATTTTATTTTACTGTTACAGGGATTTTGGACTAAGGAGTACGGAAAACTATGAAACTTACCGAGTACAGCGCAAAATAAAATTCACTTGATGTAAATGTTATATAAATTTCTATTCGACGCAAGTATCACACAAGTAGCTATAGTTCTATTTCTCTTAAAACCCATAAGTGAACTGAGATATATTTTCATACCAGATTTGGGGCCAAAGTTTTGTCTCACCATCGCAACCCAATACAGGCTACGTGTGTACTGTCGCAATTTGTAATAATCATCGCACTTTGTAATACCTGTCGCGATTTGTAATAAATCCATCGCACTTTGTAATACCTGTGGCAATTTGTAATAAACCGTGTCGCACTTTGTAATAAAAAAGCTGTCGCAATTTGTAACAACTGTCCATCGCACTTTGTAATAAACTAAGCTGTCGCAATTTGTAATAATTCCATCGCACTTTGTAATAACTTTTTGAGAGTAATTAAACTTTCTTCGTCAACATTAATATAACGCCAAAATATGCATGGTACTTCATAAACAAAGATGGAGATGACGTCTGCTAGCACGTAACATCTCCGCTCATTCAAACATTTAACTTTATTCACAGTCCTAAACATTTTTTTAGATTAATGTTGATTAGTTATCTGACTTACGAAATGCTGTATTCTTGAACCTTGCTATTGAACTAGGTGGCTTGCATTCAATGGTTACCCGGCGGGTGTACTTCCTTATATGGCCAATACGGGGATGTGCCTCTGGACAGAGCTTTTCCAGAGTAGAGGATCTAGACAGAGCTAGACACACTAGACACAAACAAGCCATTATTAAAAAACATTTAATTTCCGCTAATCGTAATATCCATCCTACATCGTTCGAATAAGGACACCAGGAGAGCTCAAGGTTTCCTTGTTAGATCTTATAACAGGTTGACACATCACGTGGTACACCGTTCTTGTCTAACGAGCAATCTTAAAGAAGTAATAGTGGCTTCCATATTTTAGCCAACTAAATCAAACGAGGCCTGGAAAGATTCAAAATGTTTATTGCAAATAAAACAAAACGTCACTAGTGGCAAACCTTCGAACCACAACAGAAACCTAAACACAAAATCCAATTAGTTGCTAGCCAATACCTTCGTATGTACCTGTTTTTATAACACTCACTTGGGGTCTTACACTGAGCCGGCTGAGCATTTGGTCCATTATTCTCACTTGATTTGGTCCCATACAGGAACGAAAGGAGTACTCATTCCATCTTAAAACAATTGTTTTCTGTAAGGAGTCCTCTAAAGCAAATACCATAGGGATGGTAAAAAATTATCCTTCCCTGCGTATATACAACTCGTAAGACCTTGCAATTCTTCCGAGCGTGTTCTGGATTACTGTTTTTTTGCAAAATGGAAAGGATGGAATAAACCATCCATTACTACTTGAGTTGCCCTATCTAAGGATCAAACCAAAGACACAAGGCCAACAACGTAAAAAATGATACCCTATTAAAGGCTCGAGATCGTCAAAAACCATACCCTATTAGGCGGTACTTACCTATCTAGCCCATCCATATATGGGATTATCCCCCCGCCGAAGACTTCACGTGTCCCGTGGCAAGCAAACATGGATTTGGACGACGAATGCAAGGTTATTCATGAATTTTCTGTTGTTAAATGTTGCCTTTCGTATTTAAATATTTTTGAATTTAAACGTGATTCATATCCTTTTGGTGATATGTCACAGGAAGTTTCATGTCTTTCATAACAGCGTTTCTAGTTAGTCACGTGATTAATCAAGGCAGAAAAATTTATAGCGGAATACATGCATGTTTGACCCAAGAAAATGTTACGAACATGTTACATGCTAGCAGACGTCATCATCTTTGTTTATGAAGTACCATGCATATTTTGGCATTATATTAATGTTGACGAAGTAAGTTGAGTCACTCTCAAAAAAT